ATCGGATATTTTTTTTTTCAATATTTTAGGCAATTTTAAGATGAAAATTACTCTTTTAAAATTTGCCGTAAGTTGATAGTTTCTGAGTTATAAATTTTTGAAAATTGAAAATTCTTGATCTTCAACAATTTTTATGATTAATTACAAATAAATAAATCACTTAATACCAGGTTTCATGCACGTGATTGTAAAGAAAAATACCCAAAGTTTCTATTAAAATGATAACATCCGGTTATAATTTGTATTAAATAAAAAAAAACGTGATCAAAGTTAGTGCATTTGTAAGAGCTATTTATTAGAACATAAAGTATAAAAAGTCGTACCTAAGTGATCTGCTCTGATCAGAGCAGATCTACTTAGGTACGACTTTTTATACTTTATGTTCTAATAAATAGCTCTTACAAATGCACTAACTTTGATCACGTTTTTTTTATTTAATACAAATTATAACCGGATGTTATTATTTTAATAGAAACTTTGGGTATTTTTCTTTACAATCACGTGCATGAAACCTGGTGTTAAGTGATTTATTTACTTGTAATTAATCATCAAAATTGTTGAAGATCAAGAATTTTCAATTTTCAAAAATTTATAACTCAGAAACTATTAACTTACAGCAAATTTTATAAGAGTAATTTTCATCTTAAAATTGCCTAAAATATTGAAAAAAAAATATCCGATTTGAAAAAAAATTATTTCTCAAATAATTGTTTAAACAAATGGCTATAAACAATAGATGGCCCGGGATTTCGCCAAAATGACTACGATATTCGGTTTCAGCGAGTCAAAATCCATAAAGTAATCATATATTGTACACTGACCTCAAAATTTTACGAAAAAATAATACAGCGCCTACACTATTATCTGAAGAGTAGCTCAATCAGTTACTTCTAGTAGCTAAATAGTACACTCTGGGACTGACATGCAGGAGGACCCCGGTTCGAATCTCCAACATCGCAAATTGTTATTCAACAATAATTCGACTTTTAATCATGGAAAATTGATATAAAATACATAATTTCTAATTTGCAAGTAGAAATAAAATAAATTTTATTTTATAAACTTTTTTATAAATTGATTCTGTTTCAATCAAACCAAATCTGAACAGATCAGATTTGATCTAATTAGATCAAATTTGATCTGGACAGATCTGGCCAAAATGCAGATCTGCTCAGATCTGATTTGATCAGAGCAGATCTAAACTTTTTTTCCCGGGATATTATTTACTTTACAAAACAACTTGACTTGAACCAAGAAAATTATTTAGAAGATCTAAGTTGATTTGGAGCAGGAAATTTTCTCGTTGTTTTGAAGTAAGAAAACTGTTTCTGGAACCAGAAAAATCTCTTAGCTCAAGATATGTTAATTCAACCAAAATAATTTTTGTTTTTCTAAATATTTTATGGAGTCAAGAAAATCAATTCTACAAATGAAGAATTTATTTTTTCTCTGTGTATTGCATGCCTCACAACGCGAAGCGCGTGAGGTTGTGCTTTATACTCGACTCGTCAAGGTCAAGCAATTTTTTTGTCTTTGAATGCCTCTATCACAACCTTATTACACTTATACAATAATATAAGTAAATATACACCGAGAAAACACTTAAATTAAACCATATTTTACTTTCTAAAATCATTTCATGTTGTTATTTAAAAAAAAAAAACGTTTCGAAAAAAATTGTACGTGGACGTCCGGATGTCACCCCATATTGGATGTACCAACGATTACTCCCGAACAAATTGATATTTCAAGACCAGAGCTTTTTTATTCATCGATCAAACGAGCCCGCCGAAGGCGGGCGAAGTTCGATCGGGATTATACGAAACGTCTCGTTCGAAGATGATTGACTACTTGTAGTACTGTTTAAGGACGAAGATAACTACACACTTTTAGAGATTCAAAAGAAAGCTATATGGCGCGCCTTCCGCCATATTTACGCATGCGCCCTGGCTACTTCATATTTTAGAGCTTAATGTATATTTATTTTTTGTTATTTCTGTTGTTAGAAGATGATTACAGAGGGTTTTTTCAGTAGGGACAGAAGAAGGGAGGGTCGTAATCATCTTCGAACGACACGTTTCGTATAATCCCGATCGAACTTCGCCCGCCTTCGGCGGGCTCGTTTGATCCAGGAATTATACTCACGTCTCGTTCGCGATGATTGACTACTTGTAGAGGTTTAGAGACAGAAATAACACTTCTCCTTATCCGTTTGAATATTTATTCTTGCAAAAATACAACTTATTAGTTTACTTTTTATTTAAAATTGAGCAAGCAAAGGTATCGTCAGAGTCTGTGACTTGACGATTGTAGAAACGTGCAAATGTTGATGACCTTGAAGACCAACCAGCAGTTCTCCTAATGGTGTCAATATTAACTCCATTATTGAATGCTTTGGATACTGCCGCATGTTTTGCGCTGAACGCAGTGAAAATGCTTACATCTACCCCAGCTTTACCAAGAAGCGCTTTCACCCAGTGACCTATTGTTTGTGCACTGGCTGGTCCATGGGGTTTTACCGTTGATATAAACATCATTTTTGTATCAAGCCTGAGGTCCTTGGTTTTCTCAAGGTAAAGTATAAGAATGGTTGCTACACATATCTTTTTATCTTGGTTAAAAAAGGGGATAGACAATACGGGCTGCTCTTTTCCCGGTTTGGATGTTTTAATAAGGTCAGGAATTTTGATTTTTAAACCCAGATCTGATTTTATAATATTATCAATGTTAATCAATGATAATGTTTGTAGTCTATGAGCCGTGATTAACATAAGCAACGTCACAAGAATTTCTGCCAGATCCTTTAGTTTTAGATTTTTTAAATCCGGAATGGTTTTAATGTATGTTACTACTTACAAGTTATTACTTGCTCAGTATCCCATGTTACTGAGTATTTTGGTTTTGAAGGCCTTCTTTTAAAGCATCCTCGCAAAAACCTGGACAATAATGGGTCTTTAGCTAAATCATTTTTACTAATTAGTGAGATTGCGGCTCGAGCCGAATTTAACGTGCCATATTTAGCTCCAGCCTCAAATTTTTGTGTTAAAAATTTGATTATATCTGTATTACTAGGTTCAAAAATATTTATATTTTTATCAGTGGCAAAGCACCACCATCCTTTTAAACAACTTTCGTATTGTTTCATGGTCGCTTGCGACAAGGAGTCCAGGATGATATCTACTGACTCTTCTGTTGATCCTCTATGGAGGAAGGCTTGCCTGACAAGATGCCTGCCACTAATGAAAGATTGTGAGCTAATGGGTGCGACTGCTTCCTGCAAGGAGATAATAACAATGATGAACAAGGTTTAAAAATTATTGGTGACTCACAAAGTAAGGAGGTAAATAGTGGGTACCACGGTTGAGAAGGCCATAAAGGGACCACCATGATACCAGATCCTTCATCATTAATTATTTTACGCAAAGCTGGGAGAATTAGTGAAAAAGGTGGGAAGGCATAAAATCTTTCATTCGACCACGAGATCGTAAATGAATCTATGAATGCTGCATGTGGATCGGGAAATCGTGAGCAGAAACGTTTACACTTAGTATTAATTCTCGAAGCAAACAAGTCAATGCTCTCCAAAAGATTTTATTATTTTCTTATATGTTGTATCAGATAGTTCCCATTCAGTATCCAGATTTTTAACTCTAGAGGCTTTGTCTGCGTCTACGTTTTGTTTCGATGGAATATATGACGCGACTAACCAGATTTTTCTGCTTTCACACCACTGCCATATTTTTCTTGCTAATTCACTCAGCTTTGGATACTTTATACTACCTCCTTTATTTATACACGCTATCGCAGTTGTATTGTCGATGCAAATAAGGGCTTCGCATTTATGCTCGTTGGAAACGAAGCATCTCAGGGCAAAAAAGGCAGCTAGAAGCTCCACATAATTAATATGGTGTTTCTGATCGTTTTGGTTCCAAAAGCCATGAGTTATGACGTCATCTTTTTCAGCGCCTCAACCTGTCCTAGATGCGTCGGAAGTTAAAATTGCACTATATCTGTGTAATCTGATCAGATTTAAGCCTATTAAGGTGTTCTTTTTCCACCAAAGAAGGTCTTCCCACATCATATTATTTAATGTCATACTTGCCTCAAAATCATTGTTATTTACAAGCAAAGCTAACCATTTATATCTTTCAAGACGTTTGCAATAGATATTGCTGTACGCAACTCCCGAGCAACACGATATCAATACACCGATTAGATGAGCAATTCTTCTAATTTTATACTTTTTATTTAATTCGAAGCTATTTAATAATTGAATGACATTGTCTTTTCTTTTATTAGTGAGTTCGACTGACATTCGGTTGGAATCTAGAACAAAACCTAAATATTTGCATCTATTGCTGGGTACTATTGAGCTCTTACGTTTATTGATGATGAAGCCTAACTCCTCTAATAGTTTACTTTACATTCATTGCACAGGATTCGTGAGAATAGCCAATGCAGAGAATATCATCTAAATATATTATAGATAAAAAACCTAACAATCTCAATTTATTCATGATTGGCTTCATCATTTTAGTAAAAATGTAAGGGCTCGTACAAAGTCCAAATGGTAGACATTTAAATTGGAATAGTTTCCCATTAAACCGGAAGCGTAAGAATTTTCTGGAGCTTTCACAGACTGGGACCAACAAGTATGCATCTTCCAAGTCTATTGTACACATAAAGATGCCATCTGAAACTAAATTTCTGGCAGATCTTAGATCTTCCATTTTAAAGTGCATCGTATCAATCCAATTATTCAACTTTTTGAGATTAATAATAAAGCGACTTGACCCATCGGGTTTCGAAACCAAAAAATAAGTGGAAATAAATTGCCCCGGAGCTTCTGAGCATTCCTCAATTGCCCCTTTTTGCAAAAGATTATTAATTTCCCTTGCTATTGCGAATTTTTCAGCACCAGACCAACCTGGTTCTGGTGGTACCTTCATTTGAGTCGGGCACTTAGCAAAAGGAATTTTATATCCCTTGATACATTTAATGATGAAGGAATCATTAGTTATTTCCTTCCACTTTTTAATAAAGTGTTTTAGCCTACCCGCTATATGTTTTACCTTTATTTCTTGTTCGGGGTTTGATGCTTCTCCCTCGATGACCTCTGTGACGGACTCGCTGTTGAGGATTTGGACCTGTATCGGACATTCTTGAACTGTCTCCTCTGATTGAAGTTGCCCATCTGTCTGTAATTTACAGGTGGGCCCCGGAAGTTTCCCTGAGGCGTATTCTTACTTAGCGATTTCTTTGCCACAGATTTTTCCGGCTGTTTTAGTGAAGCTGCTGCTTTCACAATGGATTTAGCCTCTTTTACTTGGTCAGACAGTTTATCTCCGTATAACCACTCATTGGGGACACTTGCATCCAATGTCGTTTTTAGCTCTTTATCCAAAATTGGCGTGATAAAAGACCTTCTCGCCGTCGACTGTTGAAAATATACATCAGACAACAGTTTTCCTGAATCCCAAAGATACTTTAACAATTTTGTCTGATCGATGTCTCCTTCAGGGTCTTCTGTAATTAACGAGAACGCTGAAGCCAATGACAACAATGCTTTACCAACACAACTTTGTGTTTCAGCAAAATGTTGATCGCATTTTTTAGCAATATCGGTCATGTGTCGTAATATCTCCAAGTTAACCTTCGGAGAATCGGTCGCAAACTCGGAGTTCTGGGGGTATGTTTTGACTACCTCCTTTTTTTCTTCCTCAGATAGTCCTTTAGACATCCAATTTTTCCACCACTTGGTGATACCCTGATTAATTTTTATTTTTTCCCCAGAATCAGGTACTTGTTCACCAAGAATTTCAAGCAGCTCGGGATCTAGGTCCTCTAGCTTATCATCTGGCTCGCGATTCTCTTTCTGTGATTCATCAGACTCTGTGGTCTGTATAACCTCAGCAGGCTTTGACGACATATTTTTTGATGGATCAGGTGCACCTGGATCCTCTGATTGAATAGCAGCTGTGAAGAGAGAGCATTTACTAATAATTTATTAATAATATTTCGTGAAATATTAATTCCTATTATTGTACAACGAGGTTATTCATTTATTTATTTTTGTGGTCTCACTCGTGTGGAGCTAACCTACAATATATGTTTGTACATGTATCAATATATAACTGTCGATTTTGAATTTATTTTAGTTTCTTTCTTATTGAAAAAAAAAAAACTAAAAAATCAGTGTATAATAACATTCGTATGGAATATATTATACAATTTTGCAATGATATCTAATGTTCGTATGGAACTGGGCGTCGTTCGTATGGAACTACCCGGGTGATCCTTCGTGTAGAAGATTCACCCATTTTTATTTTATTTTATTTTATATAATCAGCCTACCTTCAGTAGCTGAAACAACAGTATTTTTAACTTGTTGTTGTGCTTTTAAAAAATCAGTGATGACATTTGATAGGTTATCTATCTGTTGCTGCATGGCTGTCAATTTATGATCAGTTTTTTCCCTCTTGGAACGCTCTCTTGTCGGAGATCGTGAATGAGACCGCTTCTTCGATTTCGACATGATGAATATTTTTATACTTGAATGTTTTTTATTAATTATTTTTGATAAACAAAATACTCTTGATGTATGCAGTTACCTACACAAAAACAATATGAAGTAGCCAGAGTGCATGCGTAAATATGGCGGAAGGTGCGCCATATAGCTTTTCTTTTGAATCTCTAAAAGTGTGTAGTTATCTTCGTACTTAAACAGTACTACAAGTAGTCAATCATCGAGAATGAGACGTGAGTATAATTAGTGTAAGAATTCGATGAACTGGGTCCGTATTTCATATCAGTGGCCTAGTTTACATATTTTTTTTTTAATTGAATTTTTATTAAAATTCACTACGATACAACCGTACAAAGCCAAACGAACTTTTCTTATTTGTCACGTGAAAACTATGGCGCCACTTGATCAAGCTAGATTTTTTTAGACTGCGTGCGCATGACACAAGAAAAAAGGGCGCTGATATTTAAAAAAAAAATAAAAAATACTCTGTAAGAAACTACTTAATTATAATTTTTTTTTTTTAATCAATTACACAATTAATTTTTTTCTTAAAAAATGAATGAGCGTTATGAGGCGTGCACTTTTGGATTTTCCAAACTTTTTTTTTAAATTGACTCACTTTTGGATATTAATAAAAAATCTGATTGAATAAAAGAGCGCTAGACAGCGCCTCGATATTAAACTAGCTTCTTAGCCTTTAATCTAGTAAAACTAAAGCCAGGCCTTAGTCAGAGCCTCGATTTTATTGCTACTAGAGATACTAAACAAATCATTTGATTTTTAACATTTGACGCAAGATTTTTAACACAATATATTTATGGTTGATATAATTAAACGATTCCTTTGGTAACACAATTTCAAGCCAAAAAGTATCGTATTTGTTTACAAAATAAAAATGTATTTATTAATAATTTGGTTTGCCCTCAGAAGAATATCTTTAATAAAATTATGAAATTTCAAACTTCATACACACTCGGAAGTAACGTCAAGACTACAAAACAGCCTGACAAATAGACAAAGTTAATTTTTCTCACGAATTAGCCGCGCATTCATTAATATCATCATCACGTTCAATTAAACACAATTTCTTGAGAATAATACAATCCCAGCGGGGATTTGCATGTTCATACTAGGAAAAAAATTTTAAATTTTAAATGTTGCTGTTCAAATTTCAAACAGCAGAATATAAATATAAATTCAACAAAAGGTGGTAAAGTTAAATAGCTACTTCTGTGGTTGGTTGAATGAGGCTTGTTATTAGCGTTTTAATTGGGTCCAGTCTCTTATCCAGTAATATTTGGTGATAGGGGTGTACTTGCCACCAGCTATTCCAGGTCCTAATCTGCAGCCGGCGGCAATCCCAAAATTGTCGGTTGGGCTACGACCACGCGGTGGATTAATAGTATTTTTTGCGATCTTTCAGCATTGCATGCGCGGACGTTACATAACCACCAAATATCACCCGTGTAAATATCACCCCTCATAATTTGTAATCATGCCTTGTATACTGCTTAAATTGTTAGATAAACATATTTAATAAATTTAAGATTATGCAATTAATGGGCAAGTTTTTTTTGCTTGTTAAAATCATTATTTACTGCAGAAAATATTTGATTTATGCTGAAAAATAACAAGAAAATATTGATGTATTTATGGTTTATCTAATGATTGTAAAAAACAACTGGCTACTACGTCCGTAGTGAATTCAAGATGGTCGACTGGTCCAACGAGTTTCGTTCATATACTATAAACTCTCATTCAATTTAGTTCCTACTTTAATTTGCTTACTTTCATCCAAAATTATATTTTATTCATCAACCATAATTCATATTACGTACTGACATTTTGATTAAGTTAACCTAACCACGTCATTTACATTTACATTAGAGTTAATATTATTAAATTTCATGTGTACCATTTTGTTATGAAAATTTTGTCTGAGTTTTCATGAAAAACTTTTTATTTTCTAAATTTATTATGTCCATAGTTTTGAAGATTTTAATTTTTGTTCATTTTCTATAAATATTAATTAATGTTTTTATAAAGTAGAATTTTGATCACAAATGACATTGTTTACTAGAGGTTATTAATACAGAGACTGCGTAGCATAATTCAAAGTCATAACAAGCTACAAAATTACAGTTGAACGTGCGAGATTCAATTGAATGAGATTGAAACACGCGAGATACTTATTACGATTGAATTAATTATGTTTGAAGAGATACAAGATATGATTCAACTGCTTTCATTATGTAGATACACACACACACACACACACACACACACACACACACACACACACACACACACACACACACACACACACACACACACACACATACTCTTTTGAATTTATGTAAATGTATATGGGTCATTCTCATAAATCAACATTCTGTTATTTAGGGGATTTTGACTTTGGCTCATTTTATTATTACTTTTTAGTTATATTAACAGTAGCGTGGATTTATTTTTAGATTATTTACTTTTATAAGCTTCTAAGTTGAAATGTTTAAAAAAAATTAAATATAATAAATGTCTAATTATAATTATAATAAATTTGTCTATTATATGTAAAATTGAAAAGTTTATTGGGGTTGCCATTTTTATAAATTTGAAACAAAAAGTAATATACAATAACTTAGTTAACTTACAATAACAAGTTATTGTTTTTACTCCGTTTTTCGAAAATCGAGTTTTCATCAGATCTCGACGTTTTGAGGTTCTGGAAAACTTCGCTGACTATTCCCGCGATGGTGTGTGTTTGTGTGTGTGTGTGTGTGTGTGTGTGTGTGTGTGTGTGTGTGTGTGTGTGTGTGTGTGTGTGTGTGTGTGTGTGTGTGTGTGTGTGTAGTGTGTGTGTGTGTGTGTGTGTGTGTGTGTGTGTGTGTGTGTGTGTGTGTGTGTGTGTGTGTGTGGGTTCAACTAAACTTAGATTTTGAATACAAGTTGGATCGATAGATTTTGAGAAATCTTGAAAAAACTGCGAAAAAAAATTTTTTAAAATGTGGTTTTTTTTAATAACTTTGAAACGGCTCTACTGATCGATTCCAAAAACTAATCAGCTCTTAACATCAAAAAACCACGTCGATCGCCACCAAGCCGGTCAAAATCGGTTGATTCGTTCGTGAGTTATCGTTGAAGAAAGAAATCGAAAAAAAGTGTTTTTTTCGAATTACACCAAAATTTCTGGTCTGATCAATTTGTGTTTGAAAATATATCATAGAATTTGAAAAACTGCGTCGAATGCCGTCGACCGCGTGAAAATCGGTTCATTATATAATATGAATATTCATTCAAAAGTTATTGCGGTTTGAAAATTCAAAAAAATAGTGTTTTATTTATCCTCTATCAGACTTTTGAGCTCGGAGAGCTCAAAACTACACGAAAATTATATTTTTGAGCTTGGAGAGCTCAAAAACGTAATAAGTGCAATTTTGAGCGCTTAATTACAAAAGTAATTACGGGTAGTTGCAGGGATGGCCTTCAGGGTCAACCGTTTTCTTAATTTTTTTAGTTGAATTTTCTCATTGCTTAAATGTAATAAATGGCCGTTCTATAACAATATTAATTAAAACGGAAATTTTTTTTTAATTTCTTTTCTGAAGACTATAATTTTCTTACTAGTTCATTCAGCTTGAAGGTAAAGGGAAAATATCAAGTATAAAAATAAATTTATTTTATACTTTCTTTTAAAATAAAACTTGTCTAAACATTCATGAAAAAATGCCATGAAATATTTAGGGAGAGCATTAATTGAGTGATTTATTAATAGTTGTGAAGCATTCAAGCATTCTTATCATCACCCTTTTTACAAATATAGAAACGTGTCTCAGATTGGTCCCCCTAAAATTCTTCACATCAAAAATCCCACTCTATATGATTTATTCAAATGGCATTATTAATATTATCAAATGTAATTCTTCCGAGTAATTTAAAGACCCCTTTTCTTAGCTTCAGTATGCAAAATGAATCTTAATTAACATTGTAAGATTCACTTTTTTCTCGTGAGAATATTTTAATTCAAATATCAAAACTCTTGAAATATGATACTGAAACTGACAAACGTCAAACTAATTTAAAGTAAAAAAAAAAAAAAAAACATTTTATGAATTGTTAAACATCGACATCTCTTGAGAAAATCAACAGATTTTGGTCGAGCTCTTTTAACAAAAAACTCTATATGATCAAAGATGTGATTCAACAAATCTTTAGAAATTGCAAATTATCAGAAGTATTTCAAAAAATTTTTTTCTCGCTTTTTATTCACCTTCAAAACTTCTCATTCAATTGACTTGAAATTCAATTAGACCCAAATTTCAATAAAATTATTAAATCGCGTTACTAATGCCAAAAAGGCGTATTTCAAAATATATGCCCTTTTGGCTTTGAAGGACCAAAAGGGCATATAAGAAAAATTTTTTTTCTTTAATCAACCAGAGAATATGTATAAAAGTAAAAATATAGTTGAAAAACGTAGAAAAAATTTTTTTTCAACTTACGCTCTTTTAGCTTTAAGAAAAAATATTTTTACAGCCTAAAGGACGTTTATGGAAAAATAGTCAAAGTAGCTTCTAAGGATCTTATTAAAACGTCC